TGCCACCGGCCCGGTCCGGGGCTCCGGTCAGGGGTTGCCACCGGCCCGGTCCGGGGCTCCGGTCAGGGGCTGCCACCGGCCCGGTCCGGGGCTCCGGTCAGGGGCTGCCACCGGCCCGGTCCGGGGCTCCGGTCAGGGGCTGCCGCCGGCCCTTGCCGCGCCGTGCTTCTCGGCGAACCGCCTGCGGGAGAGAGCGCCTTCAGACACCGCGGGGCCGGGACCACCAGAGAGGCCTTCTATGAACCCACCCCGGTGCAACCGCTCGGCCAGGAGGCGGCACTGATGGACCGGGAGACACTGCAGCACCCCCGGGATGGGTGCTGCTCCATGCTCCATTCCAAACCTGGAGCCCATGGAAACGGGTGAAGGCAGCAGGAGCTGCTCTGGGAGGGCCACGGGGGAGGGACAGTCCCTGCTGGGGACAATTCCGATGGAGCACGGACCAAGCCAGGAGCTGTTGGGACTGCCCGTAGCAGCTCATGCTCCCCCAGGATCACCCATGGCAGTCCCTGCACCCCAGCCAGGTTTCCCACCAGGATGGTTCCCTCAGCACAGCCACAGCCATTTGGTGCCCAGGCACATTCAACTTCCYCTCAAACACTTCCTCAATTTTCTGCATCTTCCTCAACCAAAACCCAGACACCAGAACTGGCCTCTTGTCTCAGGATTTGCCTCATAACCCTACACAGAGGTCAAACTCACTCCCTGTTCCCTCACACTGTCCTTGGTGCCAAGCAGGAACGTCCTGCCCACACCGAGGGTGCCACAATGCCAGTGGGATGCCACAGAAAACCAGTCCCACAGGGGCTCCTACCAGCCTGACATGAATCACACAGGAGAGCCCAGTGCTTGGGACATCTCGGGTGCTGCTGGGGCCARATTTGGGGGCTCAGGCATGGGAACCTTTGGGTGGCCCTGGCAGGGGGAGGTGTGGGGAGCTCTCACCTCCTGGCATAGTCGTACAAGGCTCGTTTTCTCTCCTGCAAGGACAGRTGACGCTCCACGGGGGACTTTGCAAACTGCTTCGTAGCCGGCTGGAAGAGAAAGCAAAGGAGCTATCAGGAGATGGACAAAGCAGGAGCCTCCTTGGTGGCTCTGGAAGGACCTGGGCCTGCCAGGACAATGCTCCATGCCCCTGATTAGTCCTGAACACAAGCCACAAGACCAGGCAGACACACAAAACCCAAGTACCTTGGAAGAAGGCGCAGCCACAGAGCCCTGGATGCCAGAAGCAGCTGCAGCCTGGGAGGTAGACGGGGCAGGCTGGTCTCCAGCCTCCTTACTCTCAGGGAAGAAGGGAACTCTCCCCTCCAGCAAGTTGGCAATGGTGGTGTCCACACAGTTGGTTTGGACTGYGGGGACAAAGGGAGAGATCAGGACACTCCATCCTGGCTGCCATCATGTACCAGCAGGGACAAGAGTCCTTCTTTCAGACCACAGAAGGTGTCCCCACATCCCTGCTGCCACCCCAGTCACTGCTCACCCAGGTCTGTCCTGATGACCTCCAGGGGCACGTGAGGCAGCACCTCCTTGACCTGCTGTGCCATGGCCATGAGCCGCACGTCCTCGGGAGCGCTCCCGGCCAGGCTGGGGGGCACCCTGGGCCGGGCTGCCGGGCGCTGGCTTGAGGCTGCAGGACAAATTATAGTGGGCACAGGGTGAGGGACTACAGGTCACTGAGAGCAGAGAAGCCCCCACAAATGCAGGGCCCAGAGGTTTCAGAGGCAGGATGCCCACCTGGGGCAAAGGACAGCCGTGCTGTGTGCCTCAGCCTCTTCATGTGCTCGGTCCTGTCGGCAGCGGTGATCCGTGTGGATACCACACCCAGCTCCATGGCCAAGAGCTGTGGAATGCAGAGGGGTTATCATCAAAACAGACAACACCCASGGCCCAGCAGCCCCTCCATGCTGGGGAGCATGTCAGGGGTACATGGAGCCACAGTGAGGGCAATCAAGGATGCATTTCAGCATCGTAGGAAAGACCAAGAGCAGCGATATTATCCTGTCAAAACGGGCTGACAAGGAGATATGAGATATTTGGTATAGGAGCTGGGAAGTACCCAACACATATGGGCAGGGTGGAGAAACAATTGCTTTGTTTGGTTCATGGCGTGAGGAAAAGGGAGAAAAAGGTTTGAACTCAATGGTGAGAGCCCTGGTAACTGCAGAAAGGCTGTGTGGGGTGGCAAATAGGCCACAAAATAACTGAGCGCTTGTGAGGGGTAATAAATACATATCAGAGCTCCCATCACACAAAACACATCCAGAAATGGCCTCTGCAACTCTCCCTGCATCCCTCTCTCATCCATCCCCCACAGCACCCTCCTACCTCCTGAACTCGGAGCGCAAAGTCCTCAATCCGCTCGTCCGCTCGTCTGGGGACAGACGGCATCCACCTGAGTGGGGACAACAGCACATGGAGCCAGCCCTGACACCCTGACAGGAGCAGCCATGCTGGGCACACCCCCAAGCCCACCAGGAACAGCCCTTGGAGCCAGCTCTGCCAGGAACAACCACACCACATCCCCTCCTCCATGCTCACCCCACAGGAACACCAAACCCCAACACCCACTCCCAAATCCAGGACACGGCTCAGCTCTGAAGACAGAACGGCTCATTTGAGCTCAGTTAGCTCTCAAATGTAACACGAGGGATCTACAGTTCCCAGAAAGGCCTTAATGAGGATTCATGGCCATTTATATGGAAGTAGAAAACAGGTCACCCAGAATTCAGGCAGATACGAGGGAAAGCTGCAGCGCAAGGCTTTTCTCTGCTGAAATAAACCAAGCCCTACATTTGTTTCCCAGTCCCTTCCACTGCCCTCATTCCACCAAAGCTACTCAGCCAGCCTGGGCTCACCCAGRCCCTGGGCAGGGAACTGGACCAGTCCACTCTCAAGGGATTGTAGGGACAGACAGACACTGGGRCTGAGCAGCTRTGGAGAGAATCACTGCAGAGCAGCWTCAAAAATACACCTGGAAACTTAACAAAATGCCTGGAAAGACTGAGACTCCTTTTCTAACAGGAGACAAGAGCCCTCTCCACCTCAGAAGCTGGTCCAGGAGCTGGACTTGGYCAGGTCCAGATGCTGAGCCCAGCCCTGCTGAGGCACCTGGGGAGGGATTTCTCACTGCCATGGTGACACCRAGGTCCTGCCCACCCTCAACCCTGCCCCAAACGGAAGAGAGAGACGTAGTACCTTACTTGATAAACTGTGAAGGGAACRAAGAAGGTCCAGAGCAGCTCTGTGATCCAGGAGGAGTCAGCCACGCTCTGGGGAAGAGAGCACAGTGAAATCCCAGCCACGCAACAGGAGCTGGTCCAGGTTTCACGGGGGAGGGAGGTGGGCAGAGCACACCTGAGACTTAGCCAGAGGACTGGGGAAGTGGGAATARCAGAGCCAGTGCAAGCAGGGCAAACCCCAGGGCAGCTTCACCCTCATTAGCCATCACCAATTTCCACTGCTCCATCACCTTTTCCTCCCACTAAGACAGCAGAAAGACATTCCCTCGGTATCCCCACATTCCCTACTAGTCTATGCCTTCAGAAAGCACCAAAAATGMTTGAAAACCTACTAAAGCTTCCYCAGAACCATGAACAATCCTCCCYCATTCTGGTGGGAASAGCCTTTYTRTGATGTCCCTACTCCTGTAAGCTCTCTCARGTAACAGGACAAGAGGAAACAGCCTCAGGTTGTGCCAGGGGAGATTTAGGTTGGATTTTAGRAAAATTCCTCCTTGAAAGGGCTGTCCAGGGCACTGGGGGGTTTAACAGTGTGGATGTGGCACTTGGGGACATGGTCAGTGGTGGCCTTGGCAGTGCTGTGGAATGGTGGGGCTCAATGGRCTCAGAGGGATTTTCCAACCCAAACAGTTCTGTGATTCTCAGACAGACTCATGCCTGATTTATCCCACAGCCTGGGAAGAAAAGCTGTAAATGAGAAATGCCCAGAAAGCCCAGCCACAAAGGGAACAGAGAAGCCTCATTTCCTGGATAAACAGAACCTCAGAACCCTAAACCCAAATGCCTGCAGTGATGCCCACAGCCARATTTTGGTGACACTGCCTGTGCCACAGAACAACACCCTCCTGCAATATCCYATGCAATTGGAGCTGGAGAAAATTCTTTTTCAACTCAAAATTTGGTGGTTGGCCCAGCCCAGTGCCTAATATATATTACACAAATCTATAAAAAAGCTTTCTATAAAACACCAATTGAACCATTCCAAGTATCACACCACCAGTCCTTCAAGTTTCTGAGGGTTTAAAATGACATCAGAAATCCATCAGGATTCACTCAGCCAATGTGCAGGAACTACAAAATCTTGCTCAGCCTCTGGAGGTAAAACTTGAGCTAAGAAGTGRCTGTAACCAGCACCTCCACACAATCTTGCTGTTCCCCCTGACATGCATGAGAGAAGGGAAGCAGACACACTTGTCCCATCTCAGAATTTCTCAGAGGAACCAAACCCATAAGAGCACAAGATACTCCTTATAAACTGTCCACAACAGGGGAGATCTCCCACCTCTCTGGTGTAGTTATTAAAAAATATAAATTATTCTTATTGCTAGAAAAACTGCATCTTCACCCATGCTTGTGGCTTGCCTCAACTCTGCCTCAGGCCCCCAGGTTTGGCAGGGGTGACAAAAGCTCTGCCAAATACTCCTGCCATTCCCATCCCTGCACACAACCAGCTGACTCCTCACCCTGACAGGGGTTCAGCATCCCAC